CTGGGATGAAGATAGGAATTCTGGCAATAATGGCTAAAGAAAAAATTATGTAACATTACAGAAGGCACTAAAAGAAAACAATTTTCCTAACAATTTACATTATCTTTAAGAGAATTATTAAATATAATGAAAAGGAAAGGTGAAAGTAAACAAACAGATCTGTTAACCTTCTTTTTTGTTTACATATTAAAACAATCCTCAACAGGTGGAAGGAACCCTTCAGGGAACTCATTGTACTTTCAGAATGCGGGGGTGGGGGAAGGTGTGAGGAAAACCCCTCCCTGCATAGACATTTTGCATTGGAAATGGAATGGGTGGTGGGGCCGGTGGAAAATAATCTCCAGGTTCTCCATACCAGTTTCCTGGGAGAGGTGGAGGAAAAAAAGGTCCTCTTCTCATGAACTGACTCCTTGGGTCGGCTGGAAACAAGGCACCTCTGACTGGAGGGAAAGGTGCCAACACAGAGCCAGGGCCAGTTGCTTGGTTTTCAGCATGGAGAGGTGAATCAGGCACATCGGAATCCCCGAGATCGACTGTGGTCTCCTTTCTACTGGATTGGAAATGGCTTTTTTTTTATGGAAAAAGTGAAGGTGTTTGCATGTCTGTGGGTGCACGTGTGTGTGTGTGTGTGTGTGTGTGTGTGTGTACACACAGCAAAGGAAGAGACAGGTGCAGGGCTCCACTGTGGTCCTGCTTAGTGCCCCACGTATGCTGCGGACACAGACCCTGCCTCTGCTATTTGTGGGCCAGGGTGGCCAGAGGTTACCTCTGAGGCTTTCTGAGGTGTGACTACTCTACACTCACATGGGTAGTTCCTGAGTGACTGTTGCCTGGGGTATAAACCTCCTCTCCAGGCCTAGGCCTATTGGTAAGGAATTCTGTTCTTCCCAGGCTGCAGGTGGGCCTGCTGCAGAATCGCCCTCCCTGCCCCATGAGCATGGACAGCAGACAGGGAGAGAGCAGCAAGAGCAGCCCTGAGACCCCCACAGGTGCCAGGTGATACAGGTGCATGCACCACCTCTGCTGACCTCCCTTTCTTGCAGGATGACCGGAGAGAAGGCATGGCTGCATTTGTGGAGAAGAGGAAGGCCAGTTTCAAAGACCACTGAGAAACCAGCTTCCTGGGCCTCAATCTTCATGGAGAGGGAACTGCAGGCCGTCAGCTTAGAAGCAAATAGATCACCATCCTTGAAAAGGTAGCAGAGACCACATAGAGTTCTTGCTGATGTCTGTGGAACTGTGGTCATTGCTCAAGCCTTCGCAGCACAGCCAGCCAGTGATTAGCAGGATCAGTCACCTGTGTTCTGACTGGAGCACATTTTCTAAGTCAAAGGTCCTGTTGAGGAACTTCCAGCACGTTCAGCCTTTTCTTCACCTCAGGAGCTGAGGTGCTTGCTTGGCCACCACTGTGCCAACGGGTGGAGGCAGGCGCCGTCTGTCCTGTGCCTGCAGCTGCTGGATGTGGCTGCTCAGAAGGAGATGCTGCTGTTGCTACTTTTGAAAAGAATCATGATTAAAGTGACTATTTCAAATTAGTTCTGCCTTGTAATCATCTCTAGAAGGTGAATATTCTATAAATTAGTGTTGTTGTTTTTTTTTAACTTTCTTCATTGTAAATGAAAGCATTCAAACAAAACAGAAGTCCATAAGGCAAGCAATCCCTATACCACATCCCAGGTGTCTGACTTCTGTGAACACTTGGGTTTGTAGCCTCCTTTAGATTTTTCTATGCCCAGTACCTGCTGGTTCCTGAAGCACAGAGAAGCTGATCTAGGAAGTACTGTCATGCTTGGTGCTGCTTGCCGTGCGAGGCATGGAGACCTAGTCCACAGGGGTGGGAGAGCTACCCTGAGGGATGGGCTTCTATCAGGGTTCCTCTGGTGGCTGCACACTCTGGGAGGATTGACCTTGGCCTGAAGTGCTGTGCAGCTCTGGCACCCAGTAGAGCTCAGTGTGGTGACCTGGTTATTAGGAACCACTCACTGCCCCTGCCGCCAAACATCCTCTTTATTCCCAGAACACTAAGCTCTCCAAACTGTTCTCAAGCAAGTGTCTATGAGAGTTGACCATCCTGGATGACCTCCCATCCTATATGGTCTGAGGCCTAAGATGACACTGGCTGCCCCAGGTCAGGGGCTCACAAGCCTTAGGGAATCCTGAGACCTGCTAAGGAGAGGCTGAGAAATCTGCATCTCTGCTGATGCACACTGACTTCGGCTTTTGAGGGAAAATCAGTGTAGGCTGGTGCTGTCATGAGCCCCCACAGGTACCCCTTCGGTGCCTGGCTGTGCTGGCTATACACCGGGCAGGACTTTGCCTAAGAGAAGGGGGTCTAAACCTGCCTGGGACTCTAGGGTAAGGAGCACTCACAGTTTATTGAATAGCCAGTATGCACCCCAGGCCACAGGGACCAGCATGGTCATCACACAGTGTGCAGCTAGGCCAAAGCAAATGATGCCTGTCCTATTGGGAACTAGGCCTCGGGCCCCTCATCTCATGGGAAAGCACATGCCCTCCAGCTTGGTGACCATGTCAGAGCACTATATACTGAACCACGGCTAGGAGTAAGAAGGTGGTCTGAAGTATGGTCATGGCTTTAGGCTGGCATAAGCCAGGAGCCTGTGAGGACCAAGCTGGACAAGGGGAGGATCGCCCACACTGAGAACTAAGAACTTTCACACACCTCAGATGACAGCTCTTGTTCAACTTCATTTATTCAGCACAGCCATGTCTGCATGCACTGTGGGGACCATGTCCCTTGCAGGTATCAGTTCTGCAATCCCCCCACATCTGCCTGTATTCTTGTGTGCTGCAACCAGGAATTGATGCAGGAGGAAGGAGCATATCATGGGTTCTGTTGACTCACCCACCAGGGGCAACACTGAATTCTCACACAGTTCCCCCTTCACACAGGAATGATGTGTTGCTGATAAGCCTCAGGATCTTGAATTCTTTGGCATGTGCTTACTTACAGAAATAGGGCCAAAGGGAATTTGATTCAGGCCAACAGGGCAGAGCAGACTTTCCCTGAGGGCAGGGAGCCAGGGAGGTTGGCCCTGGTGACACCGGATGTGGACTTGCTCATTGACTAAATCTGAACACACCTGGAGGTTTGTGCTGGGCCACCATCAATCCTAGAGTCTGGAATAAGTGTGTAGAGGAGACATCAGTTTGAAGTATCCAAGCAGGAAAACCTTAAAACTGAGAAAATCCATTCATTTGTGTGTTAGGTTTTTATAGCTGTGACAAAATACCTGAGATCATCAACTTGTAAGCAGGAAAAGGTTGTTTTGGCCCATGGTTTCAGAGGTTTCAGTCCATGATCACTTGACCCCATTGCTTTGGGCCTATGGCCAGGCAGTACATCATGGTGGGGAGCTCATGGTGGAACACAGCTGCTCACCTCATGCGGCTGGGAAGCAAAGGCAGCAGGAGAGGTCAGGTTTCTCCGAAGACCTTTTTTCTAGGCCCCTCCTTCCAGCATTTCCACCAATGAGACTTTGGGGAGAACTCCAGTTTCACAGTATAATAGTTTAATTTTTCTTTTTTTTTTTTAATATTTTTTTAGTTGTTGATAGACCTTTATTTATTTATATGCGGTGCTGAGAATCGAACCCAGTGTCTCACACATGCCAGACAAGTGTACTACTGCTGAGCCCCAGCCCCAGCCCCAATATTTAACTTTTCACACATGCTGGGCATTCAGTTCCACAATCTGACTTTTAGCGATTGAACCCTAAGTGTTGTTGTTTTTTGCAGTGCTAGGATAGAATCCCGGGCCTCGCCCATGCTAGGCAAGTCCGCTCCGCCCTTCCATCAGATCCCACCCCTCCATCATGTCCAATCCTGGAGTACGCTGCATGGAGGGGCTCAAGGGTGTCCCTGCGCTGTTGTTCACAGAGCTGCTGTATACCCTGGCACAGATGGGACATGGAGTCAAGATCAGTTAGTTCTTGGGTTGTGGGGAGCCCTGGGCAGGTGTGCTGTCCACGCTCATGCCCTCTGCAGGGAGTCTGGGAGGTAGGGAAGCCACAGCTGCCCCCTGCCTACCCCTGCTGTCAAGTCCTCAGTGTCCGGCCCTACGATCACAAGGTGGCCCTTGGTCAGCCCTGTGTCTGGGTCAAGGAACCCGTGCAGGGTGCTGGGAGGGCCAGGCTCGCCTCCAGCTGCTAGGAGGCCAGGCTCACCTCCAGCCTCAGATCCTTCCCAGGCTAGGCCACCCTGGTCTTCGGCAGTTTCTCTCTCCAGGTCCCAGAGCCAGGTTGTGCAACCGGAAGATGGGGTGGTCTGCCCCCTCCTCTTAGGAACAGGTTTGGCCTTCTCACACCTCCGCCTTTCTTCCTTACTTCCTCTGAAGGGGGGTGGGAGTGACCCATGTTCTGACCCACTGACCAGGGTAGGAGCAGAGGCCAGCTGACCCACAGGTGGTGGCTTCTGCATTCCACCAGGGGTCCATGCTGACCTGGGCCTGGCTGACCAGCCCTTCAGTTTTTGCAGACGTGAACTTTCCCACCTCCTCCATCTGCCAGTGAGGGCCAGTGGAGTCCAAGCAGATGCTGAGCCAGTTGCCAGTGGCAGGTTGGGAAGTGAGCAGTGGTCCGAGTTCTGTCCTGGGCCCTAAGTCGTCATTACCTTGACTTACTGAGGCCCAGGAGTGAAAGTTGGTGAAGGAGGACAGGCCTTGGGGAAGGGCCCGAGTCTGAGCCTAGCTCTTCCCCTCCAGCCCTGGGCATCGTGCAGCTCCTGGCTGCTATGCTGAAGCTCCTGCCTCTGGACACCTACTGGGGAGCCTGGTGAGGGCCCCAAAGCTACACTGCTGCTCTGAGCCTCAGTGTCCCTTTCCCGTATTTCACAGGGTCACCTACCTTGGAGTAGGTGGTGGAAAGGGTTCCTAACCAGATCCATGGAGCCCTGAATCATCTCTAGCTGGGAAGTTCTGAAGGTGCCCAGGACCACAAAGCTGACCCCTGCCCGCCCCCAGGCTGCTATCACGGATCTGGTGCCCAACAACAAGGAGAGGGACCTGCAGAGTCACTGTGGAAAGATTATGAGTCGTTCATGGTGGGCTGCACAGTGAGGCTGTGGGAAGGGGATAGGGACTCTGTCTCCTGGAGGCTCAGAAGAGTGAAAGATGAAGTTCCAGATGCCATCACATGGCCCTTCTGCACAGCATACAGTGCTCAGGAACACAGGCACTTGTCCACTGGCTGGGACAGAAGAGGTGCATCTGGGCTTGTGGCTGACTCCCTCTCTGCCCACTAGCTTCCCACCTCCCTCCTAGGATCCTGACCTATCTGCCTGGGCGTGGGGAAGCAGACTGGGGAGAGGTTGTACCAGTGGAGCCAGCTTTGGGGAGCGGGGCTCTGGACTTCCTGACCTTCCAGGGATGTGTCCCCAGGCCCCAGGTCTCCCTGCTTGCCACCCCATCCTGGCTATGCTCTGCAGCCACATGGCTCACACTGTTACCGCTGCTGACCAGTGACGAGTCCCTGCTTCCCCAATGTTGAAGAATAACACCAGAGAAGCACGCCGAGGCCAGGTCAGAGTGGAAAGTAGAAGTTTATTAAAGGACAGCAGAAAAGACTTCTCCCGGAGGAAGAAGGGGACACAAGAGATGGAATCCATGGAAGTGCGGTTGTTTCCCCTTTTTATAGTTCTTTCAGTGATGGCATGTAGGTGGGAAGGCCCAGGGGTGGGACACAGGTGGGCCAAAGAAGTAATCTGGGCAGGAAGGACTTCTGAGTCAGCATCTTCAAGTTTGCTGGGGGCTGTTCATTAACACTTCTTTGGGATGGGCTCTGGCCTTGGGCTTCTCCCGAACTTCATTAACATTCCAAGAGTTGTTCAACTTTTCCCGGAATTCATTCTCAACATGGCCTCCATTTTAGATCTCACTCGATATTAGACCCGATTTACCTAACTACACTGACTACCTAACTTTAAATCTGGCTTCATTACCCTGCCAAGTGAGTGGACACACCCATCCCACCCCCCCAGCCCCCCACCCCCATTGGCAGATCTTGAGCAAGAATTACCTCAGGGAAGCAGTCCAGGGGCTCCTATCTTGGAGGCAACTCCCCAGGGCAGCTCAGGGGCACTGGAGGGCTTGCCAAGCTGCCGTCAGACCCAGTCCACCATAGGCCCTGGACAGGGCATGAGAGTTGCCCCATACCCACTGCCCAGTCCTTAAAATCCAAGACTGAGCACTCTTGGGACCTCTGCATCAGGAGAACCAGAGAAGTAGACTTGAGGGCCATGACTCCCGGTGCCCCCACCTCCTGCCCAGGGACTCAGGGCCCACCTGCCAGGGTTTCTCAGCTAGGTCCCTCTAGTTGGTTCATTTCTCTTCCAGAAAGCCCTGGCAAAGATAAAGAGATTTGAGTTTTATGAAAAAGGCCTCTGCCGTTGTTGCAACTGGGTAAGTTCTAGTTGGCCCAGGTGTGCCCCTGTTCATGCTCCTGAGGAGACCCCTACCCCTATCCCTGCTTAGCTCATGTCCAGTTGAGACTTGAGGTCACCCAAAGGGGGCATTTGG